AAAACACTGGACGGATGGTTTGTAACTTTGTTGTTTATTTACATCAATAAATGTCTAATAAAAATCACCACAGGTACAAATAATTAATATTTAATTAATACATCTTACTAATATTATTAATGCAAAAGTTTGTGTGTTTGTTTGTTCGTTTGAAGTTCAATCACGCATAAACTACTGTATATGTACTATAAATAGCATACCGCAAATTAAAAGAGCCGTTTTCTTTTTAGTTGTTTTTTAATTGTTTTTTTTTTATTGTTTTTTAATTGTTTTAGATTTAAATTTTTTAATTAAATTTTTCTTTTGTTTTTTGCTATGTCCGAAATGTAAAAAAATGACATTGCTATACCTTGCGTCAACTTTTCGTTTCCTTTTTTTAGAAATACCAAAAGCAATTACTTTTATGGGACAGTAAATCAAAGTGACTGAGATATATTTGAGGTTGTATGAAGCTCGTTGTCGTTACAATCTTTGGGGTTGTTTGTTTATGTAAATAAACAAATTTATTTGTCACAAGCTGTGTACCCGTTCTACGCACGGGGATCTTATAGTATCAGTTGAAACCTTCTTATATAAAGAACAGTAGTTGGTTTGCATATTTTCAGATATGCTGGCCAAACTATTTATTATACATAACTTCATTTTATGTCGTTTGTTGTTGTTCCGGATCGGTATGACAATCAATAAAGGGCTAAATTACCTGTGTCCGCCGGTCGATCCTAATGTATCCTATTACAGGAGATGCATTTCGGCGAAATTAAATCGCCATCATCAGTCCTAATATAAGGTCTTGAGCTTCCCCATTAGGTGCATCTTGGAGTTTTTGAAACACATACACGAACTGTACACTTATACACATAACGAATAAAACATAAATACACGGTAGGCCTACTTTTATTTTTACTATGGACAAGTAGACGCGCGTCGGTCGTGTGCCGAGTCTTGACTGAAAACGCTCATTTAAAAAATGTAAGTTTCCCAGCAATATACAACACTGATTCAAGGTCTATTTCCCGGTTATCAAAACTCAAGAACAATTTTATGCACAAAGAATCTCTATTTTCATTTACTGTTACCCTACAAATTATTGCACTTGCGATTAATTAAATCCATTATGTATGGAAAAACGTTTTTAATCTTAATTGGTTTGGATTTGCTTTCAAAACGTGATCGGAAATGGTTGCGGTATTTGTAAACAACATTAAATGTAAACATATCAGTGACAGCTAGAAGAAATAATCTTGATTTGAACAGCTGTTCGTTATTTCATAGAAGAATATGTGCTAAACATTGGGAGAAAACTTTACAAAAATCGCACAAAATTGGGGTTTTAAACGTCCGTAATTTTATTTACAAAGTGGTGACGCCATATTTTACTGGCTAAAGACAATCTCGCCAATCCAGTGAATGCATTAAAATGATTTGGAACTTGATAGGTACTCTCGTTTTTCAGGAGTAGGCTGCGTAAAATGGCTCTTGGGTCGTAACAGACTGGAAGACAGACAGAAATTTAGATGAGACTTGTTTCGGTTTCTCTAATGTATAACACGTAAAAATAACCTAAAAGTTTATGATTCTGAGCAATGTACAGACAAAACTCTAATTTTATTTATATAGATTGTAGCATAACTATATATTCAATATAACCACCTTAATTCAGCACTATTAATTTTTCTTTGGCTACCGGCAATTTGATGTAATATTTGATTTTATAACTATACAAAGATTTACTGATTTGTCTATAATGACTGTGTTTGTATTTTAATCCTTATGGGCCTAACAACAAACAATTAAGTTATTATTTTTTATTCAAATTAATACATATGCTAATATAAATATTGATATTTTGCGGTTAGTAGACTAAAAGTGTTACCAACAAACATATAATTAGTGATGGTCGGATCCGGAAATCGGACTACCGGATCCGCCGGATCCGAGCTAGAACCGGCACCGGATTGGATCAAAAAAATTCTGGATCTTGGGCTGGATCCGGTTTTGATGGATCCGGTTTTTTCAAATTTTTTCCCGAATTTTTCCTAACACAAAGCTGTCTGTATCACTGTGCAACCCTGATTTGTTTACTAAACACAAAGCTGTCTGTATCACTGTACAACACCGATTTTTGTACTAACACAAAGCTGTCTGTATCACTGTACAACACCGATTTTTTACTAACACAAAAAGCTGTCTGTATCACTCTACAACCCCGATTTCTTTACCAACACAAAGCTGTCTGTATAACTGTACAACAACTATTTTTTTACTAACACAAAGCTGTCTGTATCACTCTACAACACCGATTTTTTACCAACACAAAACTGTCTGTATCACTGTACAACCCCGATTTTTTCCTGATTTTTTTACTAACACAAAGCTGTCTGTATCCATGTACAAGACCGTTTTTCCCCGAGTGTTTGTCTCTTGATGCAAACAACTTATATGGCAAGGCCATGTTTCGATGTTTGTATCTAGATGCAAATAACTTGTATGGCAAGGCCATGTCTCAGTGTTTGCCTCTTGATGCAAATAACTTATATGGCAAGGCCATGTCTCAGCGTTTGTCTCTTAATGCAAATAACTTATATGGCAAAGCCATGTCTCAGTGTTTGTCTTTTGATGCAAATAACTTATATGGCAAGGCCATGACTCAGTGTTTGTCTTTTGATGCAAATAACTTATATGGCAAGGCCATGACTCAGTATTTGTCTCTTGATGCAAATAACGTATATGGCAAGGTTATGACTCAGTGTTTGTCTTTTGATGCAAATAACTTATATGGCAAGGCCATGACTCAGTATTTGTCTCTTGATGCAAATAACTTATATGGCAAGGTTATGACTCAGTGTTTGTCTTTTGATGCAAATAACTTATATGGCAAGGCCATGTTTCAGTGTTTGTCTCTTGATACAAATAAATAACATATATGGCAATGGCATGTATCTTTCCGAACTGAATCCGACCCGATTTTTCGGATATCTTCACACCTCTAGTTTTTAGTTTTGTACCTGGATGATAAGCTAACGGCCTATAATTTCGACTCAAAAATATCCCGTTAGTATTTTAATCTCACCCGATGCTTCGTGATAAAAAATAATAAAAGTATGATTTAAATTGGCATTCTGTTAATTACGTTTTTATATTTTTATATATATATTATATTTTAACCCGCCCTTATGACAGTGTGTATCTGGATCCGGATCCGAAGATCCGGTACCGACATTTTCTTGGATCCGCCCATCACTACATATAATACCTTCCAGGGTATTTAATTCGGAATCTCGATGCTGGGCAAAACACAGAAGTCGACCCGGCAAGTAGAGGCCGGGTGCGCGTTCAAGTTGCCGCAAACCGCATTACGAAGCTTGTGTTAATACAAGTTGTGTCAATACTTGTTGTATTATCAAAACTACAATAGTTATTTAGTGAAAAGAACCTCATTTAAATAGAAGAAATACTTTTAAAAGTATGTTAAACTACACAATCATATTTAGTGGAAACATCTAGACTTTTATTTCGGGTATTTCTTCTATTTAAATGAGGTTCTTTTCACTAAAATTGATTGTTTAATTTAACATACTTTTAAAGGTAATTACAATTAATTGTTTAGAGCAAATAAAATTAACGACTTTTGTTGGAAAAGCCTAAAAGAATGTCTCTTTGTTTATTAGCGAATTTCCCTATAGGGAAGTAGCTATTACCGTAGGTGGCACGGTAAGACCTAGGCCCGAGACCGATTTACTTTTTCATTTTGATGTCCCCAGAGGCCAAAAACACTATTCGTTCAAATTTTTATATATATATATACGTCCGTGAACGCGATAACTTGAAATGAAATTTGGTTTGAAGGTGTAAGGCGGGATAAACTTGAATGAGTTCGCGAACCAGCATGATCGGACCATGGGAACAGTGTTTTACGGGGGCTTTTATGGGGTAAAAAATGGTTTTTCTCATTTTTGACCCTCAAAACACAAAATTTCTCAATTTCTCTCTAGACCTTGTTAAAGAGCTTAAAAAACAAATGATTTAGTATATCAAAGTGTTTTTGTATGGTTATTGGTAACAGAGAAACTTCCAAAAATTGTAAATTTAAAATTCCCATGTTATTCTTATGGAGAATATTGTAAAATGATGTAGTTTGCTTGTTTATTGATATATTTGGATTAAACTTGGCCAATTTATTTATTTTATACTAAGCTATTAATATTTTACTAAAAAACTCGCTTAATTAGTTTCCTTGTAGCAGCAAACCTAGGTACTCGTTTAACCTAACCTTATTTAAATAGATTTGATCAAAAATCAGTCCAGACAAATGGAAATTCGCTTAGTCGGCAGGTATGCTGTGGCGGGGGTATTTATCCTCTTAGTAACCAAATTAAATTAAATCCATTAGAAAACATCTGACAGCCGATAGATCTGTCAGCTCACTACAGTTATTTTTTTATAAGTTTCAGAAAATATATTATTCTGGCTACATTTCTCTCTGGTACATTTCTCTGGCATAGCAATTATATTTTAATTCTGTGGTCGCTGTGCTGCTCCAAAGCTTTAAAATAACATATCATATCCGAGAAATAATCAAATTTTTGAGACAACAGGACTGACAATAACGTTTCGACGTAGAAACCTAGGTCTCCACTAAAAAATAAGTTGGATCATAATGTAGTATGCCTTTTAGTTAAGTCAAATTTATGATTTTTGATTGAGTAATACAGTATCTTAAACTTAACTGTTTCAAAAGATTAATAGCTCAAATTAAAGTCAAAGATTATAGCTCAAATTAATATAATTCACAAATTATTTTAAATCTAAATACTGAAACTATTGTTTTTTAATCATAGAAAATTCTTATAAAAATTAGCTTTATTTTGGTTGTTCATCTTGTGTTTGTTTGAAACTCGTCCAATTTGAATAACTAATAGCTTAAATTAAAGCCAGTATTTCACTGAAGGTTCTTGGACCAAAATATATAAAAAGAAGGGTAATGTCTTTCCTATACAAACCTGTCAGCCTCATCCAACACCACTATTTTATGCCGCCCTGGGGGAAGAGTAACTTTCTGCTGAGCAAACATCTTGATCTTGTTTCGAACAGTGTCGATACCTCGGTCATTTGAGGCATTTAGTTCAAGTACAGCTTCCTTCATAGCAGGACCAAGTAGTGCCCGAGCCAGGCAGAGGATTGTGGTTGTCTTGCCCACTCCAGGGGGTCCCTGTATAAAAACATACATTAAGTTATTTAGTTAAATAGGAGTCTCTTCATAGAGGGGCCAAAAAGTGTGTGAATTAAAGAGAAGATTTTGGTTTGTCATTCCCACACACAAGGAGACCCTTAACCTACAGTTGCATCATATAGCAACACAATTCATAGCAGTATAATTCAGTTTACACAAACATACTTTTAATAATAACATATTGCATATGATCAAGAAATAGCAAAGTGTGGCAGGGTTAGCTAGTTTTTGTTTAAAAATTAGTTTCATGTTTTTGCTAACTAATTTTAACCAAGTTTAATAGTTAAGTTGTATCATAATGCTCTTTAGTTGTTCTTTGCCTTTGTATAAGGAGTGAAATTTATTTGCACATATTGTTAAATTTAATACTTGTGGGTAATGTATTACAAATTGGTTGTTGTTGATAGGAAATCAGATTATTAATATCAAATAATCTCTGGTGGACATAATCCAACTTGTACAGTTTCATGTGAAACAATCAAGCTCTTTGGTTTGTGTTAAACTTAAGGTGAAAATGGCTTGGCTAGCTTTACAACTTGTGGTGATATCATAACTGTTAGGTACCATTTCACTTTTTGATTAGCCAATCTATATATTTAATACACAGTTGTAACACTGTTTTCTCAGTAATTACTGGACCGATCCACAAGATCTATGTGTCAAATTAAAGGGATAGTTAATACACAGTTGTAACACTGTTTTCTCAGTAATTACTGGACCGATCCACAAGATCTATGTGTCAAATTAAAGGGGATAATGCATAGATTTGCCGAACTTCATTAGAATTCACGTTTTTTCTAAGGGTTAAGACCTACAGCCCTTCAAAGGTTGAGTCAATACAATTCTTATTGAAGAATATGATTTACAGCTTATTTAATAATTGTAAATCATATGTCAGCTGTTTAATGTTTATTAGATTTGTTATTATTTTTATAACCTTACTTTCAGTAGGTAATTATTAATCTAGGAGTTCCTGTACACACAATTTTAAACAAGGAAAAGTAAATTTGTTAAAGTTGTATACCACAATGTATTATTTGTAAATGTATATGAACATTATTTGTATTTTTTAGTGTCAATTTTGTATTTTTTTGTATTAAGCAATTTATTTACTCTTCAGGTTTCTGGATTAATTAAGGGTTTTACCGCTACCGCTATCGCTCGATTCTGGACCTGGACCTGGACTTCCTGGTGTATCGTCCTACCTACTATCGCTGTATCGACTGTCGTCTCAACCTACCGAGGAACTACATTGTTGAAGGACCTCGTGTGTGCCTTAGCCTATTGACTATCGTGGTTCGACCCATTCGTACCAAAAGTAAGAATTTTCCAATTTGTACGATATTTATCTTACTCTGAGACCAACATAACTGCTGCAAACCGACATCATTGAGGATTTCGGACACTTAGTTCTTGGTTGAACGATTATTTTCGCAGTGACTTTGCACTAGTACTAGCACTAGTATTTTGATAGCATCATTAACACAGACAGTGAGTGTGAGATCTACCTACACCTGGACAGGACTCCACCTGATTTTGCCAGAATATCTAGCTGTAATTTTGTTTAGCTCAAGTATTGTTGTATTTGTTGGGTATTATATTGTTGTATATGTCATAGTGTATGTAAATGTTCTTATGTGATTTTGATTCTTAGCTGGTGGCCACCGAATTTATTGAATTATATTATTATACTTGTTCTTGATTTATCAGTTGAATATTACAATCAAAATAATTAATTGTTAGTTTGTGTTAATAATGTTTACATTTATATCTGAAAGTGAATCAATCCTTAAACTTAAATAATTCTTGGGACAGCTAACAAATATTATCTTGTGGAATAACTACTGTTGTTGGACAGTCCCTTTGTTATCTTGCAATATCAACTGAAATACTTATCTCTGATAATACATTCCTGGTTTATTCATTCAGTGTTATTTATTTAGTTACCTATGATCTAGATAGTTGGTTCATTTACATTCTTAGAAAATATAATTCTACTTTATCAATTTTCACAAATCAATACAAAGTTTATTAGATTTAAAAAATTTGACTATACTGCAATAGTTATTAGTTTGTGCTAGATGAATGCAAATTTTTTGTCTTCTATTTTGAATGGTCGAGGTTCAATTTAAATTATCAAATATCCCCTGAATATCAGCTACGGGTTCAACAACTCAAGAGTGGAGTTCGACCCTCGCTTCGACTCCAGGACTTCTCCTTTAGCGAGGTGGCACCCTCAAACTTTGACCAAGAGGAATAGTAGGCCTAGATTGAGTATTAAAAATTGCAGGACCACTCCCATCACTGAGTTAGCGGGTAAAAATCGTCGCAATACAGTGGTAGGCTAGCAAACTTTCATTAAATTTAGGGTCTGTTTTCATTCGACTTACCAAGCCTTTGTTTTTTCCTGTCATCGCACGAGCACCATCTGTCGATATAATTTTTTTCAAATCCAAGTCAGCTTTCTCAAAATAGTCCATTAAAACATTGTACAAGTCCTCTCCGCGTGTTTGCCCTGATATTGGCAATATAGTTAACAATTCTTCCACAAACTGTTCTTTTTTAATGTCCAAAAACCTCACATAAACAATCAATTGAGCTGTATCGGTAATGTCACATGATTCGTCTAATGCTAAAGCGTATCTGTCTGTAGCTGCTAGAATCTGTTTCAAGCTTTTAGAACTTTCTTCTGCTAAAACTTCAGTGTTTTGTGTGCTGGTAGATGCAGAAGGCGGCATGCGTCGAATAGTGTCAATAACGTCTTGTTTATTCTCAAATAACACGTTTCCTGCCTCAATCATGCATTCTTTGACTATATCTGCATCAGTAAACGGTTTCATATGTTAAGCGAGAGTCCACGAAATACGCAAAGAAGCCTCTGCACATCTTTCTTGGGCAGTCATTGTTCGATTTAATATCTGGGTACTAGCTAAGTAGTTTGAACGTAAACTCTCAATCTTAGACTTGCGAAGATCACTTCCTGGTATTTTGTATCAAACGGCTTGTGTTTAGTCTCAAAGTGTCGTTTAACGTTTGAACTCTTGACAACAGATACCGTTTGTTGACATATCAAACACACAGGCACAGCTCCACTTTTGTTTGGAAGTATAAACAAATACTGGTCCGTCCACTCTGGTAAAAACTGCCTATTTTCACTGTCTACTTTCCGCTTTTTGCTATCCATTGTAAGTAATTCGCACTACACTTTTTGTATAACTAACACACGACAGGATGAATAATCAATGAGAGAACTAAACACCACATTAGTAAAAAAACAGACGACGCGACATCGACAGTGCTGACTACAGCCAGTGCGGGCGGCCTGGCGATGACGACGTGACGTGGCCACTGGGTGGGCGAGTTCAATTAGCGATGGAGGGGAGGAAGCGTAAAGAAAAAGCCGGTGCATAGCATCGCTTATAACGGTTTTTATCCAGCGTGGAGCACGGCGAATTAACTATGAATTAACTATGTTTCGATAAAAATAGTTTTCTCGTATAAAATATGTTAATCTTTAATGGTTGGTACCGATATATCTTTAGGTTCAAATAAAGTTTAAATTCACTAAAAGATAAAAATACATAAAAAACACAGTTTGTGAATTTGAACTAACGGTCCGTAAAAAATCATGCGGCGGTCCGCCATTTGGGGACCACTGATATATACTATCGAATTTCAGAAACGTGGCTTACCCCATGCTCATATTTTATTGACACTTGACAATAATGATAAGATTCACAATATTGCAGATATTGATAAATTTGTTTCTGATGAAATTCCTGACCCAAATGAGCATGCAACTCTTCACAGATTGGTGCAAAATCACATGGTACATGGGCCATGTGGCTCACTAAACCTAAACTCCCCATGCATGGTTAAGGGAAAGTGTTCAAAACAGTTCCCAAAAGCTTTCAACAATAGCACTAGAGACAATCTAAATGGATATCCTGAATATAAACGCCGCGATAATGACATCGTTGTCGACGTTCGTGGACATACTATAGACAATAGATATATAGTTCCATACAATCCATACCTTCTAATTAAGTTCAACTGTCATATGAACGTAGAGGTCTGCACAACTGTTAAAAGCATTAAATATATATACAAGTATGTGTACAAGGGATATGATTGTGCAACACTAAAATTCTCAAAAGAAAACAGCAGTGTTCTGGTTTATGATGAGATTGATTCTTATTTAAACGGCCGTTACGTTGGTTCAACTGAAGCTGTTTGGCGTATATTTGAATACAAAATGCATTTTCAAACTCACTCAGTGATTCGTCTAAACACTTACCTGACCAACAGACAGTAATTTTCAAAGAGGGAGAAGAAGATGGTGTTATTGCTGATCCCAAGAAAACTAAACTACAAGCCTTCTTTGATTTAAACAAAACTGATACACATGCACGACATCTCCTGTACACTGAAATTCCTCAAAACTATACTTGGGACACGATAAATAGAACTTGGAAACGGAGGAAACAGGGAGCACAAAAAACAATAACGAGGTTATACACTGTCAACCCAAAACAACCAGAACTATACCATCTTCGCCTCATTCTACTGCATGCCCGTGGTCCATCATGTTTTGAGGACTGCAGGATGTGGAAAAACATTTGTGCAAAAAGCTTTACTGTGCAAACTACGATCGATGCAACAACAGTGTATTCCATGTGCATTCAGTGGCATTGCAGCCAGCCTCCTAGATGGAGGTCATAAATATTCTCACAATATTTTCAAATTGCCTATACCCATCTTGGAGAACTCAACATCTGGTATCAAACCAAACACTCCTGAGGCTAAAATAATTATAGAGTCTTCATTAATAATTACTAGTGTACATGTTGCTCGAATTCGAGCAATTACAAAGTATTACAGGAGTTATTTCAGATTGAATAACAGTCATATTTACAATGAGTTTAAAAGAGTGGGTCGCCGGAAGACTGCCCCCCGGAAAACTACCCCCTCAACCAGGTTCCTATGTCATATTGACGTCACAGACCGGGGGGGCAGTTTTCCAGTCACGGACACTCAAATTTAGTTGACAAACACTTCTAATCTAACCTAACCTAACCAACCAAACTTGTTGTAACATTTCAAAATTCTGTTTTATATTCACCACATGACTTTTCTATTATCCAATAGAATTACTCGAATTAAAATTACAATTACATAGCATGATTTGTCTAGGGGGGGTAGTATTCCAGTCGCGGACACGACTTCCATATTGGTTAGTTGGCAGATTTTGTGACGTCTCGTTTCACCTGGGGGGGGGGGGTAGTTTTCCGGGGGATAGTCAAAAGAGTCAACTCAAATATTACCGTTGTGTAACTCAGACCCTGTTTATCTTCGTTATTATTGATAAACCTAAAGCATTCCGGACGGTTCTCTCCTTCTCAAAATGCCTCGCTGTACAGGCCACACAGGTCATTAATAGAGGGCCAATTGAGAACGAAAAGTCGTTTTGGGGTAGTGTTAGGGCGCATTTGTAACCAAATAGTTGAAGTTGTCCAGGTTCAGGTTCAGACTGTGATGAGTTAAGCCTATTACGCGCCACTGTTCTGTAGCTGCGGTCGTTTCGTTATCACGATTGCACCTCATGTCTATGTTTCGTTGTCGTTGCGTCGGAGACATTTAAAAGAAATAAACCTAACCTAACAAATAATAAACAAATTATAGCTACACAAAACCATGCACAAACTTAAGTTACAATCATGTTAACACAATCCATCATAGCGACACAAAACAACGATAAATACACAAATTTAAGATACAACCATACTAACACGATCAACACGATCCGTCTTGGGGGTTATGTTTACACAAACTCAAATAGTAAATAAATGTACTCAATGTGTTTCGTTGAATTGAAAAGTAAATAACAGCAATAAAATTATACAGCTGATCAAAATGTAAACAATTATGTTCTTCATAAGGATAACATGGGAACTTTCAAAGCCACTGGGGCAGAGCCCAAGGGACTTTTTCAAAAATATAAGGTCAGTTTGCAAATCTACGCGACACGCTCTTTCCAATGAGACGTCAATGGATAAAATCGGTTAGGAAATGGCGGAGGAGTTCAACCGACAAACTTTCGTGTAGCGTATTAATTATATAGATAGATGAAATATCTATGTGTCCAGTATATGTTTTAAACATTATCGATAGATTACTTCGAGATCTTATGCGAAATAAAAATAAGAAACTATTGTTTGGTGGTAAAGTTGTCTTATTGTGTGGAGACTTTTGCCAAACACTACCAGTAGTACCACACGCTGGTCCAGCCACGATAATTGAACAATGCGTTAAATCTTACGAGCACTGGGGGTGCGTTAAACAACTGAGTTTGTCTAAAAACATGAGAGTATTGGATAGTGAAATAGAGTTTTCAAAGTTTCTTAGAACAGTCGGTAATGGTGAACTAAACATAGAAGTTGATTTGGGAGAGGATATAATGAAAATACCCACCCAGTTAATTAGTTCCGGCCCAGTAATTGAAGATATTTACGAAGATCTTAATAAACTAATCGCAACTTCAGACATTACTGAGAGAGCTATACTAGCACCAAGAAATGAAGACTGTTTATTAATTAATGATTGCATTTTAAAAAAGTTACCTGGTGAAGAAATAGACTACTGTAGTGTTGACAAGGTGATAGCAGATGATGACATGGCTCACACTACAATCCCAACTGAATTTCTCAATAGTTTGACTGTAAGTGGCTTACCACCTCACAAACTGACTTTGAAAAAAAATTCTATAGTAATGCCAATCAGAAATTTGAACACATCTAAAGCAATAATTAACGGAACAAGAATACGAGTGAAAAACCTGTACCGCAACACAATAGATTGTGAAATTCTGACGGGGACTTCGATTGGACAAAGGATTCTTATCCCACGAATTCATCTAACAATTTCTGGAACTTTATTGCCATTCAAACTTGAAAGAACTCAGATTCCCGTAATCCTTGCATTCGCAATGACAATAAATAAGGCCCAAGGGCAATCAATCGCTAAAATCGGTGTATACCTACCAAAACCCGTTTTTTCCAGCT